CTTTATTAATCCACTCATGTATTGATGGGCACTTGGGTTGTTTCCACATCCTTGCAATAGTGAACTGTGCTGCCATAAACATTTGAGTGCAGATGTCTTTATTATAGAATGTCTTTTTTTTTTTTTACTTAAGGTAGAAGCCTAGTAGTGGGATTGCTGGATCAAATGGTATTTCTACTATTTAGGTTCTTATATTGTCTCCCTTTTACAGATGAAGAAACTGAAGCTTAAAGACTAGAGAGGATGGTGATCTGGGGCTCACGTTTGTGATAGACACTATTGTTCATGGCTAATATCTGTGGACCACTTGGTCTTTAAAGAACCAAAGTTCTTTAAAGGGATTGGTTGTTGGAAAAGAAAGAAAAAATAATGCTTATGATCTTTATTATCTCAAGAAGAACATGTAGTGTATGAAGATAAAGTTGATATTACCTCACTCATAGGTATTAAGAAGATGAGTAGGAAGGGAAGTTATGTGGGAAAGTGTTAGATTTCAACAGGGTCTGTAAGAATTGACTTAGGGAGACCCAAAGGGAGGATGTCCCTGGAGAGGTTGACATGCCCAAAGACGACAAACCCTTCTATTAAAAATGGTTTGCTCTCCTGACCCAAGTCTACTATACACTGCTTAGAAATTTCTGCCTTTTCTTGTTTCACTGAATAGATATATTTCAATATCTACTTGAGTTTATAAACATCTACTTTTTAAAAGACTGAATTATTTGGTGTGCTCATGGTGTTATTGGTCAATCACAACATAATAAGAATTATTTGTATCTAAGTCTGTTCTTTCTAATATCTAATTACAGCAGTTTTACTGAAGAAGTGAGTTTTGAAAGAGAAGAGGCAGAGAATAGTAAATAATTGTGGAACAAGTAAAATGTGCAGAACTCTCCTAAGCTCACCCAAAGTGAATAATAAAGAAATTGGAGGCTAGAGCAAAAAGGCTCCAGGAGTGGATGAGCTGCCTTTTCATTTACCATAAAATATTGCACAGATCTAACTCTCTCCCTGAAAAGGAAGAGGAAATACGTACCTTGTCTCTCTTATATCACATGATCCCTTGATTTAAGGACACAGAACTCAAATGAATAGGGTTAATGTTTGTTTATTTATTCATTCAACAAATATATATTTAACTACCATCTATTAAGTAGTCTTTTGTGTGCTAGTCTGACAGACTAACTACTATTTATAACACTGCTTATTCTATGGGAAAGGAATGACACCAGGGATACAATGAAATATTGGACCATAACTTTTGTATAAGTTAGAGCTGTCTGTAGTGCTTTAAGGACTAAGAATAGAAGATAGTAGTTTCTGAACTTACCAGAAAACCCTCTGGTGGCCTGAAGACTACATCTTTAAAAGCATCAAGCTCATTGTCAGCAAAGCTATAAATAATATTATGCTGCTTTTGGCATATGAATGTAATACTATTAGTGCATCGAAAATGAATCACAAATAGCACATAGCATACATTATATTTTCCCAGTAATGCCTACTAGTCTCTATTAAGCCATCCAGTCTATTTTATCACTGTTTATTGTTACAGAAGACATACGTTTGCCAATTTTCTAGCTGGAGCTATCTTTGCCCTGTAAAACTAACACATACAAGACAAACAAACAAACAAAATCCTAGTCTTTAATACTAAGTTGGAGCAAGATCTGTCATTGATCCATTAACACCGCATTTGAATCACCTTAGCTAACCAACTCCATTGGTGAAGTATCGCAGAAATTCACCCTCAAATGGCACTTATCTCTCCAAGTGTATACCACCATCTAAGAGACTGGCCCTCATTAGTTTTTTTTAAGCTTTATAGTTCATGTGAACATACCTTGCTTTTGAAGTAAATGCAAGTGCATTAAGCATCAGCTTTAGCGATGAGCTCAATGGGTTGCTATCACTATCTCTGGCCCTCTCTGGGACAAAAGCAAATTCAGGGACCCCCAAACCAGACATAGGATCAATGGAATAGGTTTGCAGATGGGCCAGCCCATCTGGATCAATTTTCTTCTTAGACGCCTGCTTTAAACCATTTCCTTATTTAACATATACAGTAAGGGAATTAAGCCAATGGGAAAAATACCAATAAGTTAAATGACTTTGTTTTTACAGCTGTGCTAAAGAATAATAGGAAAAGCCAGTGAAACTGAAGGGCTAAAGTTACATTTGATCATTTTCTGTGGCTTTGACTATTCATGGCTTGCCAACCCTTTTATTATCACAGAGAAGACACGAGAAAGAATAAATGAAAGCACAAACAGGATTGGAGGACTTCATGTGTCTTCACATATGTTGTCTTCCTTTCCTCAAAACAATTTTCAAATCTGAATTATGTTTTTGTAACAACTTTGCATTAACATAAACATAATGTACACACACACACACATACACACACACACACTTGCATACGCAATACCAAAAGCCAAGAATGTGTTCTTGAGAAATTTGAGATGTTATTTCTCCCCAGCACTCTATCATGCATTCCCACCTCTAGTTGGGCCGGGCTGGTGAGCTGCTATGTGCTAGATGCCTCGTCTTCCCCTCCCTTGTCCACATTACACTGTTCCTAGGACCTGAGATTTCCACTAGCTCCCATCTTTCCAAATGCCACCTCCCACAAGAACCTTTCCGGAACAATCTATCCAGCCCTCATTGACCGCTTCCTCCTCTGACCTTCTACCAGAACTATTTGACCTCCGATTGATTGATTGATTTTGTTTTTTTTTTTTTACTTTAAAAGACTTTTTATTATGAAATTTTCAAACTTCTCTCCCCTGTAGTTCCAGAGCAGAAAATTAACTTCTCTTTCCTGTATTTTTTATAGATACATAATATTTGCACATATTTATGGGATACATGTGATATATTGATACATGTATAAAATGTGTAATAATAAAGTTAGGGTATTTAGAATATCCATCTCCTCTAACATTTATCTTTTCTTTGTGTCAAGAGCATTTCAAATCTTCTCTTACAGCTATTTTGAAATATACAATATTTTACTGCTAACTATAGTCAACCAACTGTGCTATATTGAACACTAGAACTTATTCCTTCTTTGGCCTCTGATTATTTTGTATGAATTCTTCTTGTTTACTGAACTAGATTACATGGGGGTTGGAACATAATTTCCATATTTACAAAAGCATCAAGCACAGTGCCTGCTTAGTGAGTAGAGGATACTCAATGAACACCTATTTACCAACCATTTTCAAAAAAAAACACCTGCAAACCCCAGTGCTAGTCTGTAGCTCTTTTGTTATTGGAAATAGTGTGGCAAAATGCAAATCTCTGAAATTCCCGACCACCTTTCCTTCCACTGGTTCTTCATTCTTTCCCACAGGTTATCTCCCCTAGTTTCATAAAATCCTGGAAAGAAAGGTCAGGAAGGGCAGAAACTCTAACTCCCAAGACTTTTATATTTCTCTTAGCAAGTACACACGAGGTGGTGGCACATCTGGTGGCTCAGACACTTGACACCTGTCCCACCTGTGGGGAGGGTTACAGGAAAATCTCCGTTAACCAGACCCAGCAATCCAGAACTCTCAGTCAAACATAAGCATGGTTCTCCATGCAGTAAAGGAAAGAGGTAAATTATATAAAAAACAAATGTAAGCAAAGGATTTATTTAAAAATACACATCTTTGGAAGTCTCTGCACTTATTAAATGTTCAACCTGATTTTATAATCCTTCTTGGATATAAGAATTGATAATTACAATAATAAGGAACATTTCGTGAATACTTACTAGCAGCCAAGAATCAAGCAAAGTGCTTTTTTTTTAATATACCCTTTCACCAACATCTCCCCAATTCCCTCACTCCCTAATCTCTGGCAACCACCATTCTGCTCTGTGTTTCTATGAATTTGACTATTTTACATTCCACAATAAGCAAGATCATGCAGAATTTGTAAGCAGAACTTCTGTGTTTAGCTTACTTCACTTAGCCTAATGTCTTTCAGGTTCATCCATGTTGTTACAAATGGCAGGAATTCCTTCTTTTTAAGAGTGAATAATATTCGATAGTGTGTATGTGTGTGTCTGTCTGTCTATTATATTTTCTTTGTCCATTCATCTTTTGACCGATGCTTAGGCTGTTTCCATATCTTGGCTATTGTGAATAAGCTACAATGAACACAGGCGTGCAGAAATATCTTTGAGATACTGACTTCATTTCCTTTGGATAAATATCCAGAAGAGGGATTCCTGGATCACATAGCAGTTCTATTTTTAATTTTTGTGGAACCTCCATACTGTATTCCATAATGGTTATACCAACAAAGTGTTTTAAGCACTTAATCTCATACGATCATTACAAAAAATCTACAAAGTATTCATGACATTGTGTAGTGCCACAGAATAATGGCTATGCTCTATTGGCAATATATTTACCCTTAGATAATTGCAGTTCTCAATCATTAAAGATCTTCCTGGTATATTTTACCTACTAAACTGAAATGTTGCCAACATATTACAGAATTATTTTCATTAAAGTTTGGAATGACAGAACTTTTGGATTGACTATTTAAAACCAACTAAGCAGATCACCTTCCACCTCCTACCCTGTTTTCTGGTTAACAGAGATTTTAATGCACCAAAGACCTGTAGGGAAAAGAGCACAGAAGGAAGGATTCATTGGCCCTATTTTGCAGATATGAATACTAAGGCAATCTCATCAATTTGTCGGATTAATAATACAAAAGCCATTTGGGCATAGCTGAAATTTGGCTCTAACCTACATTTCTAGAGTGCCTTAAAGGTGATCCAAAAGAAAATTGGGTATATAACTTTTGGTTATTATGGGTATAGATGATTTGAGCACTGGTGGGAGGAGGTATATTTGCTTAGCTTAATGAGATGGGGAAAGTGGAGACGAATTCATTTTGGTGAGGAGCTCATAAAGCAAATATTCTTGTTTAAATCAAATTTTTATTGCTCACTGATTCTCAGGGAACAATAGGAAACCGAGGTTCTCTGAAGCTCTTACCTGGTGGCAAAGCTTGAGACGGTACCTGCGCTTTCACGTAGTTGCGGAAGAGAATTCTGGTTTTCTGCACCAGAGAGGAATTCCTTCAGGGAAGTTTTCATCTTCTTTGACCCTGCAAGAGCACAGCGACCTTAGTGAGTTGGCATGATGTCTCTTCACAAGAGATTTTGGACCATTCCCCTTGGCTGAGACATTTCTAGGCCCTTGACTAGGGAAAAGCTTGGAATCAGCTAGACACAGACTAGTTCTAAGAGGATGAATTGCAGCAAACTCTTTGATTTCCATCTACAGACTTAGAGAATGTGTGAGGATTCCAATTCCATATCATATGCTTAAAGTAAGTACCTGTTGAGTTGCTGCTGCACCTGTCTAATCCTTCACCCCTCCCATCTCACACGAGAGCACAGCACCTGGGGAGCCTTTTTGCTATAGCAGGGTCTAGAGCCACCTTAAGGATCTAAGAAAGCATCACTGTACAAGTCTTGTCTCCTTTTCATGATACTGCTCAGGCTACAACTCATTCTCCTTAGATGTTACCTCCTTTTATTTAATTTTTCCTCAGAACATCTGGTATTATTAATTTTGACTTCTGAATAATCTTGATCTTACAGGGGATATGTCTCAAAAACTTTTGTGGATTTCCAAATCTGGAAATAACACACAAAAGTAGATAGTATTCTCTTCTGCAAAATGGGGAAAATATTATGACTTTGAAGAGTGATAATGCAGATAAATGCAAGAATGTTTGAAATTAATAGATTAAATGAGCAACAAGGAGCAGCGTGAAGATGGAACAAAGTGACACACAAGCCATTACTTCTTCCTGCATCCATATGTTGAAGCCGTTGTCAGGCAATAAGAATTGGCACATGGTATTGCGATAAAAGATCACATTCTAAAACAATGCTTTGGAAGTTAAATGCTTCTCTTCAGTCTTCAAAGATCCTGCATAATCTGCCTGTCTGAACATGCTTGTTGGGTGATCAGAGGTGGGAAGATTGTCCGAGCAGAAATTAGCAAGGAACTGGACAAAGTCAAAGGGTGGTCATCACTGCTACTCCTCTTCCCCTGCCCACCCAAGTGGAGAAAAGAGACATGACCTTTACCCACTGTCTTGATGGAAGCATCATCTCTGCACTCAGACTAGCCAGAATGGGGAGTTCACGTGGGACAAGGCTTTAAACCCACATATCACCTCATTTTGATCAATGGCAGACAGAAAAGGCCACAAGAATGTCTTTCTATCCATCTTTCTTTTGATGTAATTCTTTCTGAACCATTCTAATCCATAGAAAAACATGAACAGAGTCAAAACACACTTCTGGAAGAAGAAGGACATCCTTTGGAGATGTCATTTGTCAGCTTAAATCAGCAGTAATTGCATCACCCAGGTGTGCTAGGAGCTGGGTTTGGTATAAGATTGCTCCCAACCCGTAATCCTCAGAAGCCTTCACTTACATACGGAGGCTCGACAGGGGTTTTCAGGTTGACTGATGCTTCCTTATTTTGAGGTTACCTTTTTACCCTGGGGGTATGACTTGAGAAGGGAACAGAACATCTGAAGTAAAATCTGAGAGGACTAGTTGTGTTACCAACCGTCACTCTCTAAAGGCTAACCGGTTTAGGACATGTGATAGAGGCTGAGTTACGGAATGTAAAAGACAACATGTCCAAACTGGCTTAGGATCAATAGAACTGTGGGGAAGTCTTTGCCTTTCTCAAAGCCTAACTCACCAGCCAACGTTTATCAGCATTTCAGATGGTGTGTGCTGTGGGCGGAGAAGTGGGTGAGGTGAGTGCCGTGTGTGAATCTTTCAAAATTGTTGCTAAGGCTTTGAATCTTCCCTTGAGCCATTCTTAAAACCTCCTCTGAAGGCACATTAATGATTTTTATAATTCTGGAATCTTTCATAATTGTGGAAGTACGTGCTTGTATGTGAGGGTTGGAAAGAGCAGCCTGTGTGGGGATTGGTGAAGTATCTGGCTGGGTGTTGAGTACCTGGAGGTCAAGATGAATTGACCCAAGGCAGTCTCTTTCCATTCCTTTCAACTCCAAATTCTACAATTCTGATGACCGAAAAGGACGTCTAAAGGTGTTTTCTCTACTAGGTTGCAAGACAGAACAGATAAAAAAGTTTCGACAATCTGCTGTTGTCCTTGTCCCCACTTTTAATGCTGCTTCAAATATTTGAGGGGAAAAAGGAATAAATAGGAAGACAAAATCCCTTCCCTGAAGGTGATGGATAAGCAAGTGAAGTTTCTCTGATTTCATTTGAAGACAGTTTAATCATTTTACTTATTTATATTTTTATCTGTTTGCCCCTAGCTGACAGTAGTAGCTGACAGTGCGAGTAGTTATTTTTTCATATTTTAGGCAAGCAAATTAGGAATGGATTTTTGCCTAATACTCTAGCTAAACTGCTAATGTCTTGCCATGGCTTACTATGACCTACCAGTGAACACCCTAAAGAAGCTATCTGGATAAAGCATTAGACGCCAAAAAAGACGTGGCATCTGACATATGTGAATGACTGAAAAAAATCAAAGTCCTTCCATACATGGCCAACATTTTCGTTATTTTTCTCTCTCTTTCAAGAAGTGATTTCCTTGACAGCAACAGGCAAACATTTCCTTTCCTGGCATACGTGATAGGACGACACATTAAGACAATGCCTCATATATGATTTTCATATGGATAGCAATAATTCCACTGTTTTTCCTATCTCCCTCAAGAAATCTTATCATGGTTCAAATGAGTGAAAATAATGCCAATATATTTAGATAATCTGCTCCAATTTACTAAATAGGTAAATTGCTGCAATTATTTACAAAATTTAGTACTTTG